GACCGATGGGGTACCATGCTCTGGCCCCCAAGTCTGTCCTTTGTACTCCCTCGGGGGCTCTCTGCTCTGCTCCCACGGTTGCTTTGCCGCACGCTTTTTGTGGTTTGCCTCGGTGTCTCAGGATCAGTCTGGGCCAGTCCCAACACTGAGTCTCCAACATTGTCCCCCTTAGAGCTCGGGGCCATCAAGGGATGGCGTGTCTCGTGTGGGATCAGCCATACTGTCCACTCTGTCCACAGGCTGTTCAGAGCGGGGATGTCGTCCTCCAGGCCTGGTGGGTCAGAATGTGCTCCACTCTCTCTTCCTCCCCCTAAATGCTCCCATTAGCTCTGATCAGATATGCCCCTCTCCCCTAACTGCAGCTTCATTGCCATCCTCTCAAGTAGCTTCTTCTGGAGGGAGGGGGAGCTATGATTCTTGATCAGAACAGGCCTTGGTAAACTTGCCCCAGACTGCTGGCCAGAGGCAACACTCCCTTGGGAGCTGGAGGAAGTCACTACAGTTAGCTCGACTGGGCAGAAGCCCTGTGAGTGGACAAAACCCAGGTGGTGAGGAGAAAGCCCCGCTAACGTGGGGAGGCCAGCTGTGAATTGGGGTGGGGGGCAAATTCACTACCTGCCCCAGGTCTTCTCAGTCGGCGTCCAGCCCACCCTAACCTTTGGGACTCCATTTTGCTATGTCTTCAGGCCTTTCCTGAGCCCCCTCGCTCCCCTGAGTCTCCAAACCCCAAGCTGAACCAGCCCCATGTGCCTATCTCATCTGTCAGTGCCTGGCTGTGTGTCTGACTCCACTTGTGTCCCCAGTCCCCAGGTCCCATCTGCTGGAGAAGCAGGTGTGGGGGATACTTGGGGGCTCTAATACAGACAAGTGCTTCAGGGGAGGAGAGCCCAGGGATCTGGGGTTTAGGGTGGGACAGCAGACAGCAACCCAGACCTCATAGAATGAGTGAGAGAAGCTTCAGAACCACCTCCCCCCACCATCACCAAGAATGCACAAGACAGTCCATGCTTATGTTGCTTACTGGGTCCCCCTGCACCTGTCGGGAATTGCCCATTTGAAAAGGGGCTTGGGTTCTGTAGGAAGGGGCGGGACGAGAGACAGATGCCAGCCAGACCTAGAGGCAGAATCTGTGATGTGATGAAACAACAGAGAACATGTGAGACTAAGCACATGTAAGGCCATGCTTACCGGCTCATCTGGCAGTGGCTGTGAGCTCCTGAACACAGCTCAGTTCAGCCCCCAGGGGTACAGGGCTCTTCCCAAGTCCCTGCTGGCAGGGCCTCAGGCTCCTCCTGTTCCGTACCTTGGAACCTGGCCCCCGAGAGTGTTGGATTTCTCAGAGGGCTGGTTCAGGGGGCTCACACACTGCTTCTGCAGGACCCTCGGGGCGAAGCATTGCTTCCCTCTGAGCCTCACACGGAGATGAGGCAGCTGGTGCCCACGCTGGAGGGGGCCGGGCATCAGTGAGGGTGCCTCTGCGCAGGGCTTGGTGTGACCTGGTCTTTGGGAAATGGGAGCAGCAGCTAGTGATGGGGCTGCTGGGACTTGCTGAGGAATCTGTCACTCTGCAAAGTCACAGGGCAGCCAGTGTCCACCACTCCACAAACGCGCCCAGAGCCCACACAGGTCCAGGGAGGCCCTACACCACCCCAGAGGGGCAGCCAGCCTGCTCTGTCTGAGAGGGCAGCAGCAGCAGCTTTGTGGGGCTGGCTCCAAAGGCAGGGGTGGGGGCTCCCTCAGCATGGGGAAGAGAGGGTGCTCCAGGTCTGGCAGGGGAGTGGGCCCCACTGAGGGGCCGTATGGAAGACCACCTCCCCTCAGGAGCACACCCTCTGGTGTGCCAGTGCCAGGAGGGAATGGACCTCGTGCCCTGAAGGAACTGAGGCAGCTCACAGAACCCACCAGAAAAACCTCATTGCCATAGAGGGGATGGCGCCTGTGAGTTTCCCAGAGCGTCATTCTTTACGGCAGTAGAGAGCACCCATCTCTCTCCCACAGAGCAGCTGGTGTTTTGCAGCAGCTGCCCTTTTGGTTAGCAGCCCAGCGTGTAACCACGAGGTGTCATCACTGTGTAACAACTAGCCACCAGGGCACCTATCACAGACCTCAGCACCTGGTAAGTTAAAACAAAACCACAAAAGGTAAAGGCAGCTGAAGGGGGCCGCTGCGGGCGGGGAGAAGAACCAGGTAGGAAAGGAAGATGAAGCTGTGGGCCCACCCCTTGGCCAGGTAGACCTGGTGTAGGTGAGAGTCTGGCTCTGAGCTCCCTAGTGGGCTGAGGAGAAGTGCAAGCCGCTGGCCCCAGTGATGGAAGATGCACACCCTCCCCTGCTCTGCATCGCCTTCTGGCTACATCAGCTGCTCCCTGGAAGATGCACCCCCTCTTTCGCCCACACTCTCTCCTTTGCTCCTGTCAGGCTGGGGTAGGCATGTGGTCTGTGCTTTTACAGTGCCTGCATCCCGTGCGTTCTAGAACCTTCTCTCCTAAGGACCGAAACCCACCTCCCCTCTTTTAAAAAAAAATCCACCTTGGCATTCTGGCAGGCAGTAAGATTCAGAATATTTGTTAAAGAGACGCATAAAGGAACTCCTTGGTTGGTGCAAAAATGTAGAGGTGCCTCTGCCTGGGCAGCGCCATCTGGAGGTTGGGGACACAGGGAAGACCAGCCCCAGGGAGAGGGGTGTCGGCTCTAGAAGGCTGATTTGGGGACTACACCACTTTGAGGAAGCCACAGGTGGAGACCCACCCAGGTGTATGGCATGCCCTGGATGGTCGTGATTTCTAGATTTTTCTGTATTTGTCCACCTCCAGCTTTGTTGGGGCAGGGACTGGAGTCTGAGTGGCCATGACCAGGGCTGCTGGCTCAGCGAGGGGCTCGCCACTCACCTCCAAGCCAGCCAGGTGGACTATTGTCTGGTAGCCACTGACCAGAGAGCAGGTGGGCTGGGCCTCAGAGGGGCCCACAGGAGGGTCGGGTACCTGCTGACCTTCCCAGGTGGAGAGATGCCGCTGTCTCTCACATGGGACGCCAGGCCTGCAGCAGTTTCTCAGGACAGGGCCCGGTAGTGAGTGACGCATCCAAGGTCACTGTGGGCCGTGGCTGTGGGAGCCAGCGGGGAAGAGGTGTTTGGAGGAGCGGACGTGGGCGAGTAGCGCCTTCTATTTTGAAGGGGGGAGAGAAGCGCGGCGCCAAGGGGGAGGGGACCTTCCGGGGCCACTTGACCACATCACCTTCCCGCGACCCTTCCTGGGAGGGGCGTCCCCGAGTGGGGGAGCAGGTAGGAGGG